AAGGCTTCTGCAGACTTGAGGTACACAACTTAAGTGGTTATTTTCAAAGAAGCTGTATACCATGCTGTTTTATCTAACTCAGACTGCTGAAGTATCATATTAGTGTCAAATATATAGTCAGTTATTGCACAGAACAAGGACTGTGGATTTTGCCAAACTGATTTCACCACCTACAGTAGCCTATTTCATGAATAACTCTCAACCACTTTAGTATGTATTCTTGGTAACAACAACTTGAGTAAGCCATTCACAGCAGACAAAATTTCCTGTGTTTCGTGCAACTTCTGTTAAGGACTTCTGTCACCTAAATTGTGTAAGAGCCTTTTGTGTTGTGCCCAAGAATTCTATGTTCTTTTGGCCACAAAGAGGTAATTGTAGTCTGTGGGGGCTTTATGGCTGGCAGAGAGAGGGGGTCTGATTTCACATTGTGTTGAACAGAAACCAGGTTCCCTATACAATCACCCCACAGGGCACTGAAATCTCACCTGTACCCTTAGAGGCTAGCAAAGGCTTAATCCACTGAGTTATTTTAGTAAATCTTTAATTGCTGGGTGCAAAGTTTTAGTTAACTTTTTCAAAAGCAACCTGACACTGTCTTGTGTAATGTAATATCGTCTTTTGTGTTGAATTGACGCACAGTGAAGTGGTATTTTTAAGGCATTTTGATAGCTGAAGGTAAAAAAAATCCCACTAAAGGTATTTATGTTTGTGAACTGAACACTGAATTAGAGTGTTAAAATTAACCATTTAATTTTAACTCTCTTGGTTGACCAGATTCAAAACTCATAGCCAGTCATAATGGTGGTGGTTTTGTAAGTATGAGTGTAAATATGTGCTTTCAGTTGTGACATATAATGCTCTAGTTTAAGCTTCCCATTGTGAAAAACACCCATATTATCTGTGTCCTGAATCATTACCACATCAATTCTGGGGCATCTTTAGATCCACCCAGCAACACCAGGCCCGTTAGTCTCCTCCTCTCACACTGGTATAGCTGTGCAGGTGAGAGCTTCCACTTATTACGTTACTACAGTGCAGGCAGGAATCAAAAGGGGGGAGGTAACAGACAGCAACAGAGAAAGGCAACGCCAGAGAGAGAGAGCAGGCTTATTCACTTCGTCCACAACTGCCAAAAAACAAAACAGTTCACCGCAGGTGAGTGGGCTATAATTATAATATTACTGATTTTAGATGATGAATTTTGTGACCATGATTTAAATTCAGCTAAACAGAGCTTTGATATGTGACCGCAGGGACACACAGGAATGAGAGTGAATGATGCAGCAGGGAAATGTTATGGTATCTGTTATGTTTTGATGTTCCAAACATTATTTTATGTTACAAACATGGTTTTATGTATGCACAATTCATATGTTATATTATAAATTAGGAAATCACTAACAATTATTTTGATAAACATTGGTCAATTTGTCTAATCAAAATATATAAAATATCACTCTACTTTAGAATCAATCCAAGAATCGTTACATCCTTAAGTAATTCTATTTTGACTTACAGTGTAATGTGTAGAATCAACTCACAGACGTGATTCTTAAAACAATGTATCTTATGAAGTTGCACAGTTCATGCTTTATCTGCACAGTTCATGGCAGGAGAGACTATTGAGGGTTCCTTCGGTTATCATTTAGCTAGTCCTATAATAAAATCTTGCGCAATTCACAGTGCAACACGATGAAAACGTATATAGTGAGTGTATGTAACAGGCCAACAGGAAGGTGTGATTTAAAGCATGAGGATCTGGTACCTGAATACACCTTTTTATGCACTATACATCAAATTGAATAGCCTCTAAGAAGTCTTCACTTTTTCCATTTCTCCAAAATGGCCCCTGTTGTCACTCAGTTTCCAGGGTGTAAAGCCCATAGGAGCCCGAGCTGGGATCCAAGGGAGAGGGGAAAAAAACAAGTCGTGCGGCTTAGCAGTTCTCCCAAGGGGACTGATGGAGGAACAAACACATTTTAATTGTGTTCACTGATAAACTGCAGCAAACAGAGACACTTACGATATAATTGTGTGACACAAGACTCAACTAATTTTAGCAGGAATTACCTCATGAGGGGGTGACCATTGCTGAAAATTGCATCCTGCTCAAACTTAAAATGTTTTGACCAAGGCTTTTGTTCTAGGTGCCACTAATGTGAGAAACTGTGTGTTGAAATGTGAAAAAAGTTGAGGTGCAGCTTTCAGTCTCACATTTATCAATTTCTTCTATTGTGACTCAACCTAACAATTATGAGATCAGTTTCAATGGGACAATTAGAGGATTGTAAAAAGAGGAGACCACAGATGACTTTCACAGATCAAAAGAACTGCCCAGGTGGGTTACAATGAATGAGCACGGTTGTAATTCAGAAACCTATTACATGGGTAAACAATTTGAACTGTGTCCACATTACCTTATATCATAAAGATATTTTGTCTGCACACAAATTTAGTTTGTTATTGCTCAATTTATTCTGCAAGGAGAGATTCATCATTATGTCTGTGTCAACCAGTGGACATTATTAACAGAACATCCGTCAGCTGTTTCATTCATTATCATTGTTTGTTTTACCCTTCCCATTACCAGGATTTTCATATGACTTCATTACAGGCTGGACAAAGAACTCTCTCCCTTTCTGCCAATGCGATAATGGCCCCATTGGCTTTTATAAAAGACACAGGTATGAGTGCATTTTTGCTTTTAAAACCAATGTCAACTCTCTGCTGGGGCAGGGCCTTTCTGTGGGGAGTTTGCACTTTCTCCCTGTGTACACGTGGGTTTACCCTAGGTGCTCCGTTTTTCTCACACCATCCAAACTTAGGTTAATTCTCCAGTCAGTGGCCTTGACCAATGCACTGGTTCAGCTCTGGAGTAATAGGTATGTTAAAGCACATGAGTTGCACTGAGCTGTCTTCTGCAAAGTGGCTTGCAGGTACTGCAGTGCCGGACTTGCTCAAAGACATTTTGACTAATACACTATCCATGTTGGCTAATGTATTGGTTGAAAAACACACTCATAGTCACAAAACAAGTGTTTGTCAAGAAATACATGCAGGCAGAACCACTGAAGCTCTGGGACTCCACTGTAACTGTCCCAAAAGCAAAGATGTAATACTGTAGCTCTCTCATGAATAGATGACATATGAATGTTGGCATAGATACTGTACTGTGCACCAGCACAGCACGTGTGGCCACACATACAAACATGCATGCTTACATAAGTTTACACTATGTCTTCTTGATATAGGCCTATTTCTTTGTTGCTGTTTTGTTGCTGATGTATAGCAGGTATAATTTCTACCATGTTTGCCATCCTATTTCCTATATTTGCTAAATCGCACTCAGTACAAAGTACAGCTGAGGCTGATGGGAATGTCATTAGTTTTGCAGGTACTTGGTCATAAACCATATTGGACAAATTAAAATTTTGATCTGAATCCAACCCATGAGTCCACAAAATCCCTACTCTGGTGCTAGGCAAAGTCAGGGGATCACCAAACTTAACACCATGCATTATCTGGACACTTTTCGTCTGTGCAAACTTTTGTAGCAATTCATCCAATAGTTGTTGAGATATTTTATTCTGGACCTAAGTGGTGGACAGACATTCCTGTTGCTAGATCCATAGTGAAAACTTTGACAGATGATCACCAGAGTAATTAGGATTAATCCTCTGGGCACCATGAACACCTGTGTCCAGTTTTACAGCAATCCATTCAACAGTTATCGAGGAATTTAACAAATAACCCCCAAAAATGTCAACCATGTGGTGGCACAAGAGGAAAAGTCAGGGAATTACCTAGGTCAGTGGACTTTATCTTCTGAAGACCATACATCTGACTTTAATACATCCCTGGTTAAAGCGTTTCTAATAGCCTTTAAATCCTCTTAAAAGCAACATATTTTATTTTAGTATCTATCTATCTATCATTACTATCACTATTATCTACTAAGCAAAATCTGCTGTTGCTGCTGCTGTGGTGTGTTTGCCCAAAATCCTGCAGACAAGCACAGACACCTGAGATTTCAACATGTTGCGTGGTTTAAGTCGTCAACGTCCGGCTTTGGTGGACTACAAACCAACCGTTAATAAATATTTAAATTGAAATTACTGAAATGAAAGTAAACGATGTCTCGCCGAGGCTGACGGTCCGGGTGATTTATTTGAATCCACTAACACTCGGAGTTTTTCGCCGTGACAGACGCGGTTTCGCAGCAAATAACGAAGAGTCGTGACAGCGCTTCTCCCACGTAAAAGCGTGTACTTTTTTCACCCTCATATAAGTCGCGCCCAAAAGACATTACACCTACTACGTTACTGTTGTTTGGTTCCGGATTGCTTTGTGACATTCTCTTTTTTATAGTTAGGAACCTGTGCAGTTATCAGACTGCCTGACACACCCCTCCGTCCGCGCCGCGGCTATCCGTCACACTGTAGCCGGTCAAAAATAAGCGTCCCTGATATACCTCCAAGGAGGCGACAGGGACGAGCGACATTCCCCCCTGGGCCGCATCCTGAGCCCTTCACACAGAGACGGTGCGCAGAATGGCCGCTGACCCCCATGCCAAACCGCCAGTGATGAATGGCTACCTGTCCCTGCGTCCCACTCTCCTGCTTCTCACCTTCCACACAATTCTGCATCCTCATCATTCTTGGTAGTTTTTAAACATTTTTTTTTTCATGTGAACACCCTTTACCGCATTTGCCTCAAATAATGAAAACACAATAGTTAATCAATTCACACATTTCACACACAACCTAAAAATTCCTGATGTCCATTCTTAAAAGCTAAACTCCCCTTCTATAGCAATACATACTTCCTACCGGCACTGCACTAGTTTTAAGAAATTATTCCAGTGTTAATTTTTGGGTGACAAAAGAACAATGCAGTTTCCCTGGTATTATGTGCCTAGCTCAGCTAAATAGCTGCAATTCATTACATATGTTCTGGTTTATGTACACTAAAATCCATATTTTCCTATTATGTTTCCCAAAATGCCAGGCTGCACTGGTATCCTGCGCCTCCTCTTGTTAGGAATACTTCTGCCATCAGTATTAGTGTCCTCTGCTTCTACCGTCGCTTCTTCCACTGATGGCCCCGCAACAACAGCCGCAGCCACTACCACAGGCCCAGCAACCCCCATCACTGGAAGCACAGCAGCCAGCACCGCCTCACAGTCTCCAGCTTCAACCACCTCCGGGGCCACAACCAATCCTACAATGACCACATCTTCCACTGCGGCCCCAACAACCACCACCACAGCAGCCTTGACCACCCAGTCCACCACCTCTACCACCTTAGGAGGTACAGCAATGACCACCACTACCCAGTCACTGACAACCACAACAACCTCTGGAGGCTCAGCATCCACCACCATCACCCAGTCACCCACAATCACCTCCGGAGGCTCAGCATCTACCACTACCACCCAGACTCCTACAACCACCTCTGGAGGCTCAGAATCAACCGCCCAATCTCCCACAGCCACCTCCAGAGGCTCACTATCCACCACCCAGTCCCCCACAACCACTACCACCTCCGGAGAAACAACAATCACCACCACCACTCACTCTACCGCAGCCACCTCCGGAGTCTCAGTATCCACCACCAAGTCCCCCACAACCACAGCAATCATCACCAACACCCAGTATAGAACCACTGCATCTTCACCCCCTATCACCTCTAATTCAGTCAGTGCTACTAATTTAGGAATCATTTCTACCCCCTCTACAGTTGGAACCATGACCCAGTCCAGCACCACCATGACAGCCACAGGTTCAACCACCGCATCTACAGGCTCTGGTTCCTCAACCAGCCAAATGATGTCCACCAGTCAGTCATCAATCTCCACTGGTATGTTTTGTTTTACCAAATAATAACATGTTTCCGTCACTGTCAATGCTTTATATTCCCATGAAAATAAAAGAAAACTATTGTCTTTACCTATCATTGATTGTGACATCCATCCTTTTGCTGCAGGTGGTGCGAATGGAACCACAATTTATTCTTCAATGAGCATGGCAAGTCCACCTTACTAGAGAGAAGTGTATTGTTCTGTTTGTGTGTTTCCCTTATCACTCCTTCTTCTTCATCCCTTCAGCTTTTCATCTTCATCATGGACCTTTCTCTCTCAAACACAGATATGCCCCTCATTCACCTGTAACTACTCAGACTGCTACACAATGTACACCAGTCAGAATGCCACTTCATGTGCTGACTACTGCCAGGTACGGGGGCAAATGACACTGACAAAACCTCTTGAACCATCTAACAAAACCATTTGATGTATTGCCCTTAAATGATAATGTTCTAAAATGCGGTACAACCTCTGTATGCATGACGTATTTTAATGTGTCATTCTGCAATGTATCAGCTGTTAAGACAGACGGACATGTGGTACAATGTTAGCTGCAGCGCCTCCTGTGCTGTTAGCTGTGGCAACACCACTCAGAACAATTGCTCTATAAACTGCTGCAATTCAACTGGCTGCCTCAATGGCAGTTTTGCAACCATGATGATGACAACAACAACAGCAACCACAGGTAAACAGAGTTGACCTCCCCATTTCACGACTCTTATAATTATTTTATTTATTCTATCATCCACACACTGTCCTTACAAATTATTCTTTTTTTATCTTATGAGTTATGACTGCATATTTATAGGTGCATGCTTTTAATTTTACTCAATTTTTTAAACATTTCACTCTCATCCTTTCATTGGTCATTTCAGCAACAACAACAACAACAACAACAACAACAACAACAACAACCAAACCAATAACTACAATGGCTGCCACCAATCCACAAACACCAGCAAACAATGTAAGGACAAAAGGCTGCATGTGTGAGTGTGTGCTGGCATGCGAATGGATGCATATGTGTGAGCAGAAGGCTAGAGAGTTGTGTGTATCACTGAATTCAGTTAATTCTGCCTTCTCTTGGTCACAGACACAACACAAACACAAATTCAAAATCAAAAAAATATTTGTATACAGTGTTGACTTTCAACCAATTCCCAGTGGTTATGATAACAACCTACATACTATTTCATATTTTAATGGAATATAGTCTAAGCCAGGACTTGTGTCAGATTTGTATCATCCTTTCCTCTGTGTTGTGTTCTTTTTTTCAGGGAAAAAAATGCCATAATGGTACATGTACTGGTTCAAATTGCTACAAAAATTTTGCAGCTTCCCAAATATGCTCCTCCTCACAGCTACACTGTCAGGTGAGAACTGAGAATAGATTTTCCAAATCAAACAACTTAGCAGAAATGTCACCATCTAATCTGGTGATATAATACAGCAACATTCTGCACCATATTACTAAATAAAATACTAAGATTAAAATGCTTAACTCTGGAGTCCTGATCCATTATGGTTAATTTATGCCAGCTTTCTATGCGTTTATTTTTGTCTTTGTTTAGCACCTTTTAAACTGCCCTTACCCCATATACATGATACCTTTTTTCAGCACAAATTCAGCCTGACAACTTTATTTAAGAAAGTATACAGGCAACTATTATTATTTTCTGCAGAAAAATTTAAGAAAACCCCTATAATACTTCCATTTACATGTACAGTGACTTTTTTCATAAAAAAGTCTATGCATGCCTTTAAATCACATAAAATATTAACAAATCACAGTTAAGAAAAAATGTTTGTTTGCTAAACATAGAGGTATAAAAGTACACTAGTTTGTTCTCAGTTTGTCTCTACATGATATATACATAAAGTTATGTTATTTGTATGTTACTATAAATAAAACTGTTTTATAAACAACATTTAAATATTGCAGTCTCATATTTAGACTTTCAACCACTTGTTGCTTCTGCATTGTTGTTGCTAACTCACTAATGCTTTTGCAGCTGAGAAAGGAGACCGTAAATTCCGTCGAGCAGTGGCAAGCAGGTTGCACCACCAACTGTTCTAGCCAAACCCCATGCAAGGACTCAACACAACCTCCGTGTAATTTAGAGTGCTGCAACGCCACTATGACCTCCTGCCTATGGTTGAATGGCACATTGAATGTCCCCTCTTTCGCCACAAGAGGTCCTCATCTTAACACAGAATTGATTGCTTCCTTACTTTGCCTGCTGGCCATCACCTTGCTGCTGTGAGTGACTGAATACCAGCTTGCTCATCTGCTGTGTGGGTCATTAGGTAACCAGAGCTTTGTGTAACTCCAATTCCCTCCAGGAAAAAAAAAGCTTAGCAGTGCAGAGATTAACACTCATTTACACCGATTTATCTCTCTGATATTCATATGTGGTTGTACTGTATATATGTATGGAATTATGTAAAGCCTCAGTTATAATGTTGATTTTGTTTCTTGTTTTGTTAAAATATCCCATCATGTTTTATTTCTGGTTCAAGACCAATGAAAAATGTCTTTGAACTGTATCTTTTAATGAAAATCATCTCTGTCAAAACATGCCAGAAGGAACTCAATCTTCATATCATTTCACATTAAGCAAATCACCTTTATAATTATATATAATTATAATTAACAAAATGATATATTGAAATGAACTTGGAGTGAAGTTTTAAGATATAATTTGAATTGCTGGACATGTCGTAATTTGTTTTAGCCATGACCTTGCCCATAACTGTAATTGAATTCAGGTACTGTCTTCTTAAAGAAAGCCAAAAACAGTTTTTGTTTGTGCCTTCCCACTTTAAACTGATTGTAGGCTAATTTTAATTTTGGAATGGGTGAGTGAGCCTAAACACAACATTGTTGTTAACATAGTTATGTTTTAATTACCATAACCTCTCCTTATAGATTTATCATTTTCTCAAGCCATTGTGAGAGTGACACAGCTATGACTCTATATGCACTTTATGAAACACATGACTAATATTTTTGTGAATCGTGATTTAGATGTCTATGTGTGGTTTACAAAGTATATTTTGAAGTGGTGTCATGTAAATGTTAAATGAAATCAGAATTTATTCAAGTTTTGTGTACTGTATAAAATATAATGATTTTTGCCTAAAAATGAGATAAATCTAATAAACTACATCTAATAAATCTTCATTTGATTAAATCATATTTGTATATATGTCAGCCAGTGAGTAACAAGAAATTCTAATAGGCTACAGAAACACCAAACTAGGTCATTTAGAAACAGTATCACTATTACATAGTTTGTTCACCGCAGAGTGCTGACAAGTAGATTTTTACACTGTAACTGTGTAAAAATCAAAGGGATCTGTGTCGAGTGTTTGTTTATTTTATGTGTCTATTTATTTATTTTAATTATTCAATTACAACTCACAAATATTAACATCAGATTTGGCCTAAAAAATCCAGTATCAGTCGGGCTACACGCTGTGCAGAGGCCTATGGTGAATCTGAGCAGAATCCTTGTGCTTCAGGTTGATGCCAAAACTAGGTCAAAGCCAGGTCTGAGCTAAAATACCTCAGTATGATGTCAGTTCTTCTATTTTTGGCCTGTTGCAAATAAAATTAAAAAAAGAAATGTTCACCATTGAGCAACAAAATTGACCCAGGAATGCAGCAATGCCCCTATTATAACTGAACACATGTATCACAGGAGGGTTTCCCCCTCTTAACACAAACCCACTTAAACCCTATTGACCGGATGGCTCATCATCATCATCACAAACCATCACAGCTTTGATAAAACTTTGCAGAAAGTATGGACATATTACTTTACACACTCTATTTGTGGGACATAATCCTCTTTGGATCAGTCGCCTGAGGCCTAAATCCAAACCAAACTGACAGCCCAGATGTGACGTCACCGCGGGCGCACAGAGCGATTCTGGATCAGTGCGTGGCAGACCTGGGTCGGGCCAGCAGGGAGCGGAGGAACGAGGAGAAGAAGTAGGAAAGAAGAAAAAAAAAACATCTGGACTGAAAAAAGGGAATAATGTTGGATTACACGGGGCTCCAAAAGCGTCTCTCCTCCTGCTGTACACTTGGCTTTCGCTTGAGGGAGAAATAAACTGGTCCTCCTGGGTGTTTTCGTGTGTGTGTGTGTGTGTGTGAAGCAGAAGTTGTCACACAGTTGTGTCACTATGGATCAATCCGTCGCAATTCAAGAAACGTTGGAAAGGGAAGAAAACTGCATTATAGTATCCTTTGTTCGTGCGCTGGCTTTATGGATTATCAGCACTTCAAGCGAAGGATTATTTTACCTGCTTCAAACTAAATTCAACTAACGCGACTCCGTTGGAGGATACGAGAGCCCGAACAGGGAGGCCTGTGGGGTTAAGGCCACCTGGTTGACGCCTCTCTGAATAAATAATACAACCGAACTAAGGCTGTGATTCAAATCCAGGCAATGCATTTCAAATGCGTGTAGTTTTAGGCACTAGTGTGGGTTTTCTCGGGCGTGACTTACCAAGGATATGGTCCAACGTTTGTAGTAACACCGTTCATCCACAAGATGGCAGTATAGTGCCAAATAAAAGTCCTGCATTCATAGTGCTATTTATAAAGTAAAGAAGTTATATCAGAATTTTAATATATGTGGCTGAGGTGGAGTTAATCTTAACTGTTTTATGTATTGCTGAGTAGTTTATTCTATACAAATGGATAATAATTATTTGTAAAGCAACTGCAGATGTTAGATAAATGTAGTGGAGTAAAAAGTAGAATGTCATCTTGTGAAATGTAGTGGAATTCTATAGTGTACTAATGCGGAAACTCAAAGACAAGTACCTAACTAAATGTTAGGAAACAAAAAAGAACACAGAAAACCCCCCAAAAATGTAATTGTTGCACATTGTACCCCAAAAAATGTTTAAATGAGAGGAAGGTCCTGCTGAAATATTGTCACTGAGGGAACACATTTCCACTATATATCCTTAACTATACTCTTAACATGCTGTTCAATGTGATGTCCTCTTTGATAACATTACAGAGAGCAGACTGCTGGGATTGGTGGAGTCTTCAAAAGAACATGCGTGAGTTTTAATACTACAAATGAGCTATAATATGGCTTCTGTGTATCACTGAACAGTATACTTGTATTTAAAGGCTAACATATAACTGTGTAAGGAGAGGGGTGACGGCATTATGCAGTCCATGGCAACACCACATACTGGCCTCGAAAATGACCACAGAGTTGCATCAACCTCTGTGACACAGTAACCAGAATTATACATTATGTGGAAATGGTAGTATTCACCTCAGAGCTGCAAGACTTGTTGTGTTGGCTTGCATTATATTGTACTACAGGTGTCCTTTTATTTTGTCCACCCCTGCAGGTGCTTTATATTGTAAAAAAAAAATGTTGACTTAGACTGCTAACTAATTTAGTTAAAAATGTGAAATGTCTGTCTTGTAATATTTTGTAGAATCTTTATTTATACCCATCGAAGGATGGCTATTACTGCTGATGACGTGTCACTGGAGGACATCATACCCATTTCCCTTGACTTTGTTGTCGTGGAGGGTGAGCTACTTTCATATGTTGTATCTCATTGCAAACAGACTGACAATTTAAAAACTACTGTGTACTTCAAGATAGCTACAGCTATTTAAGCTAGTTTCTAGAGAAATAATAGCACAGTGTTAAGTTCTCTGAAGTGAACTTACAAATTTCTGCACTTTTTTTTAGTTTCTTCCCCAGAGGAACTTGCGGTTGTGGGTGAGTTACCCTTCACTGCACCTCAGGGACAATATGCTACATAACTAATCCACCACATGAAACTAAACATTGCATTTACTGTACACTGTTGTTCATCCGATTCTAGGGGGTGATACCAGAGTGAGAGTGAGCTTCCAGGAAGAGGAGCTAGAGCTCAGACTTCCTTTTGGGTCCCACTCGCGGCTCTTCCTCAGCGAGGTCAACAGGGCATGGAGTGGTAGGTCAGACCTCAGAGACACATGTATGTGATATGTTGACATGACATCCAGCTGTCATTGCTGGAACTTAGGATCATTTTCCAACCCTAGAAAGTTTGTTTAAAAAAAGCAACAACTATTCATTCAAACAGTACAGCAGCACAACCATGGACCCGCATCTCTGTACATACAGATATGAATAGGCCACTAATTATTTGATTGGGTTTTAATAGTATATATATATTTAGATTTTATTTTCTGAACAAGGTAGGAGGTACATATGTGTGAAGTAGCACAAAATAATCTGCTCTAACCATCTGTTTTGAGGAAACCTGCTCAGCCAGTCTTCAGTTGCCTTGAGGTGACATAATGTACCGCACCATGAAATACTTTTATCTTAAAATGCGACGTCAGTATACTGGAAAATACATTTAAAAAAACAGGAATCAAAACACTAAGGCATTTTTGAGACTGTTGGTGGCTGTGGGTCACAGCTTAAAAAACTTTAAAACAACAAACTGATGGTGTCACTTCACCTGTCAGTCACTGGGTGAGGGTGTGACGCATGAAGAAGGGAGAGAGAGAAGGGGTGGGGTTTGGATGGTGTGCTCCGTGTAGTTTGTGTCTGTCACAGCGTTTACAAAAAAACAAGATTAAAACAGTTTAAAAAGGACATGTAACTTCCTCTTCAACTCTTGCTTTGGACTTTCTGAATTCTTTTCATGTGAATGGAACGGGCCATTGACAGGTTATTGGACAGTCTGCTTTGTTCGGGACACTTTGTTAGTCACAGTGGAAACTCCACATGAACATGGACGAAGAATGATATGTTTTTTGGATTGCATTTTTCGTGGTACTCAAAGATGAGCCACAAAGGCTTTCAACCTGGTAAAGGGATACCAGTGATGGACAGATTAAATGACCTGGCTGTTGTTAAAAAGAAGAGTGTGAGAAATGGTAAAGGTAAGCAGATAAAAGTACCTGTACCTTGTAGTCACATTTAAAGTAGTAGAGCACAAAGCGTGGAGGTGGTCTTACAAACTAGGAGTACAGTTAGATATACAAACAAGACCCACATGTAAGTGAAATAAATAGAAAACTGATGCTTAAAAATGCTCCACAGGTGTATTAAATGAATAAGCATTCATATTTATACCATGAATCTTACCATTACTGTTGCTCTAGATTCTCCACTTTTGCCTGCAGACAATTCAGCAGAAATTCAAAGATCAGGTTCTTGTTACCTTAACTATTCCTTATTCTCTTGCCCTCTCTGTTTGTCTTTCTTCAGATGTTTGCAAGTCTCCCACACAGATACCCAGGTTTGAGTGGCTCAACAAGTACCATAAAGCCACCAGAGGACAGGGACTTGTCAAAATTGCACCCCTCAGCACAACAATCACTAAACTCAGCCAGCACCGGAAAACAGGTTTGTCATTTCGTTTCTTTTAGTAGAAGTTCACAGCCAGCGTCTTCAGATCCAGTAAACTGTGTTTGGATGACTATGATCAAAGAGTTGCATGATGAAACTGGGCTGTTTTGCCACTTCCTCTGAATACACTTCACTACACTTAGGCCCAACCTAAATATGAGTTGTAACACATTTACAGAGAGCCATGTGGGGAAGGGCACCAGTCACAACTTTTTCACAACTGACATTTTGACATGCCATAGCAGAAGATGCACACTGAGATGTAACTAATAATGTTAATTATGGCTCCATTTAATTTAAGTGACGATAGGCGGCCAGCGTGCATAACAATGGGGTAATGGACCTGGCTGAACTAAATGGATGCAGTCATTATTAACGTCTTTAATAACACCTGTTATTTTCCTGCTATGACATGTGGAAATGACTAACTGCAAAGTAATTAAATAAGTGAACATTATTTTTATAGCACCTTACAAGGTCCTTACCGGTTGCACATAAAATACAAATAACATAAATTAAACACCAAAGCACGATTTCCTTTGATTTGAGCCTTGACTGTGGAACTTTTAGCAACATTTGGTTGCAGGGCCTTTAGGGGTCCTGGTGTAGAATAATGAGTTAATAACCAAATATATATAGAACAGAGCTAAACAAAGCAGGGTTTTAAAGTAAAGTACCTTTAATTTATAAAGTAATAAAACAATATGCTCACAATAGGCAACTGCATATATAAGAACATGCAACAAGATTCGTTGTGAGATGAGTCATGCTGTGAAATGTTTTTGTATGCTTTGAATACGAACATGCAAGTTTATTATGTTTTTGCATGCCAGAATGACGTGCATGCCAAATACAAAAACATATAATACAAAAGGTGTGTAAAATGCAAAGGAACAAACATTAAAAAAAACAAAAAAAAACTACATT